TCGAGACGGCTGATGCCATCCATAGATTAGTAGGCATAGCCATCGAAGTCGGTACACAAGTCCTGGCCGACATAAGGGCCGGGACTGATCCCGTTACCGCCGTTATGAAGGCGCTGGCATCCTTACTGGCAAGGCACTATGGAGGATAGCAACCTGCGCCTGTTATATTGGAACCCGGACGGGATCCGTCAAAGGATCCATGAACTCCGCACTCTCACCCAGCAACAGGACATCCAGGTGATCTTGCTGGGTGAAACTAAATTAAGACCATCAACGCATCTTAAGCTGCCCAATTACCACATATACAGGAGGGACGAGGTCGATCCTCAAGGGGTCGCTTACAGAGGGACAGCGATCCTGGTGAGGAGAGACATCGTCCACCAGGAGCTGGAACTGCCAGACTTCCAGACGATGCGTTCAATCGGCATAAAAATGGAGGCGGCGGGCGAGGAACTTAGGATCTTTGCAGCATACCGCCCGCCAGGGACTCCATTTCACTCCTCAGACATCCGGACGGTAATGGAAGGCACAACACCCACCATCATCGCCGGGGACCTGAACGCCAAACACCCGGCGTGGGGGTCCAGAGTGATCACCCCGCCGGGTCGTGAACTGTACGAAGACGCTGAACACCATGACTATGACGTTCTAGGTCCCGAGGAACCGACGCACATTCCTAGCGACCATAGGAAGCGTCCGGATGTATTAGACATCGTGCTCACTAGGAACGTCAACTATCCAGTAGTGGTAGAAGTGCTGTATGACCTGAATACACAGCACCTCCCGATTCTGATAACCCTTGGCACTAAGGCAGTGACCTCACCGCCCAGAGCCAGTAAGACCAAGATCGACTGGAGGCTCTACCACCAACACCTGCAGGAGAGACCTCCAGTCCATACACCGATTACCTCAGCGGACGACGTAGAGGCCGCTGCAACCAGAATTTCCACGAGCATCAAGGAGGCCCTCAACGCGGCCTCTACGATCGTCCCTCTCTCGGGAAGGAAAGAGGAGCTGCCGCTAAAGATACGCGTGCAGCTAAATCATAAAAGAGCGCTGAGGAAGCTCTGGGCGCGTACTCGCTGCCCTAGAGTAAAGGGAAAACTGAACACCTTGTCAGACGAACTGTCGGTTGCAATACAGGCCCACAGAGGAGAGGCCTGGGAGCGGCGCATTTGGAAAGCTGATGAACAGCACGCGTCGCTCTACACATTGAACCGGCAGTTAACGAAAACTCGACCACCTGTTTGCCCGCTGACCAACAACGCGGGCATTCAACGTTACGATGCCAAGGGCAGAGCGGATATCCTAGCTGAGCACTTCGAGGAGCAGTTTATGCCGAACCCTACAAGTGCGGAGTTCCTGGAATCCCATTCACGGAAGGAAAGCCGCGTGCAGGAGCTCCTGTCGTCGCCCGCGCCACCGCTTGCAGGAGAGTGGTTTATCTCCCCCGCCGAACTGCGGAGGACAGTAACCCGCCTGCAACCGAGGAAGGCGCCGGGGCACGACGGGATTACTAATGCTGCACTACGACAGCTGCCCAATAGAGTCCTTGTAGAGATAGGTCGGCTCTACAATGGAATATTGCGGACATCCCACTTCCCGGAGGACTGGAAGAAAGGCAAAGTCATCGTCTTGCCGAAACCCGGGATGGACAGGCGTAGAGCTGCCAACTACAGGCCGATCACGCTGCTATCGCATATAGCTAAACTGTGCGAAAGATTACTGTTAAGACGTCTCCGCCCGTGCATCCAACTTCGGGCGGAGCAACATGGATTCAGGAGGGGTCACTCAACAGCAACACAGCTGACCAGAGTGCTGCACCTGCTTGCGGCCGAACACAACCGTGGCCGCATATCGTTGGGCGTCTTTCTCGATATCGAGAAAGCGTTCGACCGGGTGTGGCACACAGGATTACTCTATAAACTAGATGTGCAAACAAGTATCCCTCCTGCTATATTGCGGCTAGTGGCGTCTTTCCTGGAAGGCAGGAAGTTCTACGTCTGCGTAGAGGACGCCGAGTCCGCAATTAAGACCATAGCAGCTGGTGTGCCACAGGGCAGCTGTCTATCTCCAGCCCTGTACGCGGCGTACACTAATGACATACCCACCCTGGCAGGACACTTGCAAGAATGGGAGGACGGCGTCGAACTAGCACTGTTTGCGGATGACAGTGCATACTTCACGTCGTCCAGAAGAGCCCACATAGCAGCTGCCAGGATGCAACGTCTGCTGGACCTGCTGCCACCATGGCTGGATGAGTGGAGGATGGCCGTCAATGTTAGCAAGACGACCGCTCTACTCACTCGCCGCTATAGAAACCTACCACCACCGCTAACCCTCAGAGGCCAGGAGATCGCATATGAGAAGGCCGTGACCTACCTTGGATGTCGGATTGACAGGATGCTGCGTATGACTGCGCACGTTGACTCTGCTATACGCAAAGCTCGATGTGCGCGGGCAATGCTACGTCCTGTCCTGACATCCAAGTTACCGACAAAGTCGAAGATAACTATCTATAAAACTTATATAAGACCCCTGCTAACATACGCTGCTCCGGCCTGGTATGCACTCCTGAGCGATCATCAGAAGCGGCGACTTCAGGCCCAGCAGAATTTGTCATTAAGAACTATAGTCGGTGCGGGTCGCTACGTCCGTAATGACGTTATAGCGGCCAACCTCAAGATAGAGAGCCTTCATGAATTCGTGGTCCGGCTGGCGCGCGGTATGTTTGACCGCGCCGACAACGGGCCACATGAACACCTCAACGGCTTCGCGCCGTTGCATGCAAGGCCGCCGGACGGGCGACCTTATCCAAGAGAACTCCTCCCTATATAGATTAGGGAGTCCGAGTAAACCCCTCAATGCCGCAGAAAGGCCAACTTTGACAAATAATTGTGTTATTTAAACACAATTAATAGATAACCTCCCTCTCTTATAAGTTAACCGACTGCGACAATAGTCGTCATAGCAACGCCTTTAACATCAAGGCGCCCAGGACCGGCACATTGTAGTGTGCCGTGAGGAACATCCGGGTAAAGGGGTACACCCCGAGGCCCGAGACCTGCACGGCATTTATGCCCTGCAGAGGACAACAACGACGAGGGAATATAGAGTGCACCTGTGCTTGCGCATACACTTGGGCACTATAATCCTGTCCTGCGCCGATGGCTAGCCTCCGTTGAGGCAGGCCGCCGTGACTGAAATTCGGTCTGGAGGACATTATTATTATTATATCTCTGTAGTGTTGCTCGCGGTAGTGTAGTCATTATTATTTACTCTTCGATAGGAGTATCGGATAAATTAACATCGACTTTACTCAAAACTTTAAAGACATGCCAAAGTGGGGTACGAATAATTCCATTACACCATATACCTCAAACGGTGTAGTGGCGGTGTAAGAGTATCCAATACTAGATATCATGCCAGGGGTGTCCTAAGAGGCGACAGAGGGAAACAAATCAGGAGACGGGCAGCAGTGACTTCCTGAATAACGACTAAAAATAAAATACTGTATTTGCCAACCCGCTTGCCAAGCGTGGCAACTATTATTGAAAATGTCCCCCCCCCTCATGAACCAATCTACAAGGGAGGCCTATGTTCAGCAGTGAATTTTAATAAGCTGAAAAGGTAAGGATTAGTTATAATTACTTATCAGCCGATTTGACCTTCCTGTGGCTGTTCCGGATTACAAGCGGTGGCGTAAACCAAAGGTAGGTTTGCTATAGAAACAGGATGACAAACAAGCACACAGTCCACCTAATTTTAAGTGAATAAAGCCGTGACCTATAAGCATCTACATCTAATAATCAAAATGCAAATGTGTTGTCACCACTGAGAACTAAGATTTTTAGTTTCCTGTAAAAAGGGCTTCCAGTTCCCTACATTTGCCATACAAAACAGTAATATTAAGCTGCTATTTTAGGCTGGTATTATTTGAGAGCGTCATCCTTCCGTAAAAGCCGACTACAATATATCTCCAGCATGGTTCTACCATATGAAAGTAAGTGGCAGGTGAACATTCGAATTGCAATTAATAATTTCATCGGGCCTGACAGGTTCCTACTATGTCCTATTATGTTTACGGCAAGCCTTTAGAGTTACGATGGCCCTAATTTCTAAATTTATCATGTGGAAATATCGCGTGGCTTTTTAGATTCAGTTTGCTTTGCCTATTTACTGTAAAAATACTTGTTTCGCCTAATAAGACACCGATATCAGGCAGTTAAAATAAGTTGAGACATTTATGTTATGAGTTTATTATATACCAACGTATGCCTTCTATTTTATTCGCGTGTCATTTTATTTATTTACCATCATCATGTTCACAAAGATCGTCATATGAGTGGAAAGCTCTTTAGCCTTGGCTCAAGTGATGATAAGTGACTTATAGCACCCGTGAAAAACTGAAACTCCAGAGGAACTGCAGGTGCTTTACTGGCCTTTTGAATTATCAGAAAATCTTCTTGTAATTACAATATGAAATAAATGAATAAATTTGAATGGTTGTAATTAAAACATAAAAAAGGATACATTTATCGAATATAAACCAGGTAGAGACCATGCGACAGTTACATTATGGTTGTAGCACGAATGGGTCGGATCAACCGAGCAAGGACCACGTTTTCACAGAATACCAGCGTAAAATAGTAGCTTAATACTGCTGTATTTCGTATGGTAAGTGTAGTAGGCGAGGCGTTTCATCTTAGTCCTCAGAGGTGCCGACGCATCTGCATTGTAATTTTCAATCGAAGATAGATATTTTAAATTTAATAATAATTAATAGATTTATAAAAACAACAGTAACGTTCAAGTTGCGAGGCCTTGTACTAGTATCGTCAATCAGTCAGCCAGACGCAATAATTTAGGCAAGTCTACGTTTGGAAGACTTTTACGGACCGATAAGGAAAAATCATGAAAGAATAAATCATTATAAATATTTGAAAGAGATCATACTTTTAAATAATTACAGTTAGGCTTAAAAGACAGTTTCTTAAGCGATGTGTATTATATCTGGGAAGAGGAATACGAATTCATACATCGTGACACGGGGCTGTGCTATCGTCTGCGTGAGTGAGAAGCTCGAACTACTGGAAGTAAATGGAGAAGTTAATCAAAAGAATGCTCACGAATTTGCGATTAATGATGGAGCCGGTACGTCTCATCATAATATCTATTTTGGTTTGTTTTATCTATACATGGTAAAGCCATACAGCAGCTATATTATAGTTGTAGCGTAAATGGATCGGCTTGGCTAGAGAAGGGCCGCACCCTCACAGATTACCAACATAAAATAGCAGCTTAATATTGTTGTGATGAAACACATGGCGAGTGATGGTGAGTGTAAAGACACGGAGACCCCTTCTTATAGCAACGAAGCATTTTCAACTTAGTCCTCAGCGGTCACAACGCATCTGCATTTTGATTCTTAATCGAGGATAGGATGAGAAATTTTATAAGCCACATATTCATTTATTTTATTTATTTATTTTATTTTATTTTACACTTTATTGTACTAAAGGTACAAACGGCGGACTTAATGCCATATGGCATTTTCTACCAGCCAACCGGAAAGTTAGTGGGAGATGCGTGTACTGCAGTGGGCTACAATGAAACCTAAAATTGATAAATTTCACATACACATACACCTTCACCCCCCTCCACACATACACCAAACACATACATACTCATAGCTCAAACTTAATAATATATATATAAGGATCTTATAGATTAAATGTTATAGATTATTTATATATTTTTGTGTCAGATAAACCCAAATAATGTTCCTTTACCTTTGTTTTAAAAATCCATTTGTTGGAGGATTTTCTTATTGCTAGGGGAAGCGTATTCCAGTTTCTTACAGCTGTAACAGCGAAAGAGTTTGAGAGGAAACCATTTACCATCAGGTGAACTGTGTGCTCGCTTATCACCCTCATTCATTAAGAAAACGCATAAGAGAAATAAGGATTAGTATAAAATTTATTATAATAATAAATTTTACTTCAACCAAGTGTAAATATTAATATACAGATTTTTTTATATATATTCAATCTCTTGTAAACCATTATTTGCTCCACTCAGTACCATGTTAGCGTATAGCATTTTATTTTTTGATTGTATTATAGTTAGCTGAGATACACGTAACAAAATAAATTGCAACGCAGTTGATGGCGGGCGGGAGGTTCTCTTCAAACTAGGTAGGACACGATATTTTATTTTATTACGGGCATTATAGCTAGTTGCATTTTAACATCTTATATAATGGATTTCTGCAAAGTAACGCCAGATTCTATTAATTATTTTTTTCTATAATGAATGTTATCTAAATAATTCAATGCCTATAAATCCTATAAATGCACGATTTTTAAATTCAGAGGAAGAAGTTGCAACAGAATTTGTTGCTGAAGCTAGTGATTGTGTGACTCAACACAAAGGCGTGGACGATGAGTGTCTACGAGCGCTGCCAATAGCGAAGTGCTTTCGAACCAAAAACAAAGACCTCGACTGAACACCATCGATTGACATGGTTGTCCCAGTACTTACAGGATTTGGACAAAACACTGAACATACATATTGGTACGTTACAATATATTTTCACTAAGGTTTTTGTCTTTGTATATAGTACCGTTGATTTGATTATAAGGCTTCATTTTGAAAAAGGAATGATTTTTTATAGATAAAAGTGTACTTTAATTGTAACTAAGTCGTTTTAACAAATTTAATCACGTATATTAAGAGGTTAGAGTAAGTCAGCTCAAATTCTAATTTCGCCCCCACTTCCCCGCGCGTGTTATGCTATGTACCGACATGTTTGTAATCACTAATACTGTAAGTAGAAAGGTCGTAATATTTATGCCTGTTTCTTAAAGCCAAGCCAGCCGCTTCTTGTTTTTATCACGGTTATTTCCCATTTTAATTTTACGTCGTTCTGTTGCGTAATGTATATTCTGATCGTAAGCGACACAACTTCTCCCTTCAAAAGCCTGGGCGATACTAACGGAACGACAGGAATCAAGCTCAAGACACCGATAGTTTAGGTAATTTCTTTTTACAGTGAAAATAATGGTATTTTAAAAAAAGTAAATAACATAAGCACTGCTTTATAGTTAGTTCAGTTAGTATGCAAAGTTTCATGATCTTATTTAAAGTATTTTATGAATAACAGCGGTTTATTGTTTATTTTGGAGGTAACTTTGGATTTTTTTTCTATCGAGAAAATTTTACGAAATCGTGTTTTCTTCTAACATAATCACTAACATTAATCCTCAACTTTACCATATATTTATTTCAAAATTAATGCTGCAATATTTTCGGCATAACGAAGGATCTTGCTAAGCCATTTGACATTATATTTCCCCTTAATTTATACTCCCAGAGTTACAAGTACTTTACAGCACCCATATTCACGGGAGAGATTTTTCTCAAGGGCCGACAACGCACCTGCAATTCCCCTGGTGTTGCGATTGATCATGGGTGGCGGTAGTCACTTAACATCAGGTGAGCCGCATGCTCGTTTGCCCCCTCTTCTATAAAAAAAACCTTCAGTTTAAAATTATTAATTTTTGGCCCAATCTACGCTGAATGAGCTAATAATATCTTGAAGTCTTGTAGTTGTGTGCTTGGGTTTGGATTAAATTTTGATTTTATAGGATCCCATTCAGATTCTACCACCCAAACCCAAAAAGTATAATGTAATAGTGGCGTTATTTGCGTATTTTTATTCAGTTATTTCTGAACTATTTTCGACTGACAACCCTGTAGCGATATGCGATGTATAGACAATAGACATGCAGGAAGTCGATAGATTTAGGTGTCTCAGCTGTGTTTTGTGGCACCCTTGTACAGCAGTGGAGTTGTGAAGGGCTCTAATGATGATAATTTTTAATTGATAATATTTTATTTAGTTAGCCCGTTTAGGCTTTTCTGGAATTGGAGTGTTCCGTGTCCTCTTTACCAAAACGGCACACTTATAAATCGCATTTACTATTTTACCTAGAACATAAATCTAATATATATCCCCAATTTTGTTTTATCTTGTAACTATGTAAGCTTTGTAAGGTATTGAGACCGCAACCTTTTGGGATGCAAAAATGAGAAAAAATTACTTTTAACATGAAGTAAAAGCTCAAAGGACTAAAAGAAAATAATTTCAAATTTTGAAGTCGATGCTAAGACATAGAGTAAACAAGAATTAAAGAATCAAAACGTAAATACTTAGTCACCTCTGAGGGTTAAGATGGCATGCCTCGTTTCCAAAAGTTTGATGTTGGTGATAACGCATTTGTATTTTGATTCTTAATCTGTAATATAGGAAAAGTGTCAATGAAGGAGACTTGTGGTTGGTACTAAAACTTTAATTAGACTGCCTCATTATTCTACCTTAACATTAAAGTATATTAACGTGGGAGCACTACACTACAAATCGAAGATAAATATAGATGTCTATGGGTCACAGCACTGTAAACTTATGATGCTATATTATTATAGTTGTAGCACGAATAAATCGGCTCGACCGGGGAAGAACCACGCCCTCACTAAATGCCAGCGTAAAATAACAACTTAATACTGTTTGTTGTGTACAAACACCATACGAATATGGTATGTGTAGAGAACCCTTTTACTAGAATCGTGGCATTCCATATTAGTGCATTTTTATTCTAAAACGAAGATAGATGTAGATGTCTATGGCCCATAGCATATGCATAGCATATCATAACAATAGCTGTGCTCGTTTGTCACCGTTATTCTATTTAAAAAAAAACGTATTGTGTGTTTGATTTGAATCGTATAGTAGCTGTATTTCAGTCGCCAGACAAAGAGAAGCAAAAGAAGAAATTAAGAGCCACTAGACTAGAAAAACTTAGTTGAAATTATTTTAAATCTAAGTACAAAGACTTTCATTACGATCTTATAGACCGCGGTGTACCGTTAATTTTGCCAAACACGGAACGCGGGCTGGCAGGACAAGACAATCGCGGAACGTACCATAGATCTAGCTCAGGGCACTCAGCGAGCCAGGCCTAATTGAAGTTTGATGTTCTGATAGCGCTGGGACAGGATGTAGCGGCGCGCGATTGTTCTCAAGGAGTTATGGTGCAATTGGCCAATATACTTTGTTATGTAGGGTAGACTGGTAGAAAATAAGGAGCTTGCTAAGCTAAAAATAATTTTGCAAACAAGGAATGCGTTTGTTATATTATTTTGTAACAGTGCATGGGTATAATGAAAAAAAAAATTGTGATCTTTATTAGCCGACTTCAAAAAAGTAAGAGGTTCACAATACAAATATATTTTGTTTGTATGAATGTTACACAACATCTTGGCCGATTGAAATTCGATTTTGAAGATTCTTCTTTTATTAAGTACATCATACTTTAGCGTTGGTCCAACATAAGTTTGAAAACGGCTCTTATTTTATGTTAAAAGTTATAATTATTTCGTAACTGTAAAGTCAACCGTATAGTGCGACACACAGAAATGAAACAGGTGATTTACAGCTGATAATAATAAAAAACTGAAGATAATAAAAAACTGCGGTTGCCAACCCGCCAGCCAAGCGTGGCAAATGTGGCGGAACCCCCACTATGAGGCAATCTGTGGGGGAGGCCTATGTTCGGCAGTAGACTTTTAGAGGCTGTAATGGAATGGATATATTTTCGACAGGTATTGAACCCGATGCCTCTGGCTTCACAAGTTCAGACTAATCTAGCGTTAATCAGTCGTCTAGATATAACTGCACGTATAGCTAAAAATGTAATAACTATCCTATACGAACACCGCCTTAATTTTCAGCTAGCAAACAGAGCTTTTATATAGAGAATTTAAGCGACACGGACAGCCGTACATAAGCAACACCGCGTTAAATCTTCCCTCGCATTTATCCGACGGCACCTGCGACTCGAGAGGCTTTTATTGTTTACCCCTATTACACGCGCGTGCTTCGAATGCATGTTATATTTTATTATGATAATATATATTATAAGAAATGTGTACTAGATGCATTGGGGCTTAATATTTGCTGGAAATTTCACAATATGCAAAAAAACCGAATTAGATTCTCGTTGATACTAACGACATTGTTAATTTCAATTTTATGTGTCGATTTACGTGCTCTACGGTAAAAAAACCCATTATGAGAAACCTCCATATCTGCAAAATCTATCCATTCATTTATATATCAGACATATAAATCCAAAGCTGAGCCTATTTCTCCCACATTTTCTATTGTCACTGTTTCTTTTTATTTGGAATTATTGTGAGGAAGACGCTGCTGCAATCTCTGGTCTCCCTGTCTTCTGCCGCCTCTTACGAAGCCTATGAGAGGATATGGGGGAGTGAATCCTCTTACTAACCTTATTACACAGCGAATCTATCTATCTATCATCATCATCATTACAGCCCTTCACAAGTCCACTGCTGAACATAGGCCTCCCTCAAGTAATGCCACAAAGCACGGTCCCGAGCCAACTGCATCCATCGACTTCCTGCATGTCTTACCAGGTCGTCACTCCATCTAGTGGGGGGTCGCCCTACACTACGCCTACCGGTACGAGGCTGCCACTCGAGAACCTTTCTTCTCCATCGGTTATCGGTTCTTAGAGCTATATGGCCGGCCCATTGCCACTTCAGCTTACTAATCCGTTGGGCTATGTCGGTCACTATCTAATCTATCTATCTATATTAAAATAAAACTATGAAACCTCATTTATTTCATTTACTTTAATTGAATCGGTCGGTCGTTCGGGCGTAGCGGAATCACATTAGATCGATAAAAAATTGTGCGTGTAATTATATACACATGTACGAAGTTAAACTTTGAAATAATACTAGTTTTTACGGAATTTATCGCGTGTATTTAACTTTTTAATTACCCGAAGTTTCGAACGCTTTACAGCACTCATGGTCACGGGCAGGACTTGAGATTCCCGTGACCATGAGTGCTGTAAAGCGTTCGAAACGTCAGGTAATTAAAAAGTTAAATACACGCGATAAATTCCGTAAAAACTAGTATTATTTCAATGTGTAGTGTTCGCGTAAATATAAGAAGTTAAACTTCTTTACTTCATATCATTCTCCTTTTATTTTATGTTTTACATAAGCGGGTTAAATAAAAGTATACTCATTCAAACCCGGCCGTAAACGTAACAAGAAAACGAGACGTTTTTGTTTTTAATACCTTACTAAATGTTTCCACTACATTTATAAAGAAGTTTCATTTCAAAAACCTATTTTATCTTCCCGCCCAGATATGCTTTTAATGAACGTGTTTATTATGTTTTCCCAGTTCCAATGAACGTAAAAATTTGGAACTAATATTATTAAATGACAATAGTTTTACAGATTTTATCGCGTTTCATTTTAACTTTTTAATTCACGACGTTCCGTAATATCTCATTAATTGTGAGGAGAAAGAGGAGTGACACACGAACATACAGCCCACCTGATGTTTAGTAGCTGCTGTGGTCCGCTGGCAGCCGCGGCCACCTTCAAACGAAGAAGGCTAAAGGA